AGTATTGAAGTCGCATCGAATTTCGGAATGCTGGAAAATGCTTTAGCGAGTATTCACCTAAGGTAGCCAGACTGCCAACATTACCATCCATCTACCTACCACAGTTCCAGAAATGACTTAAGCACAGTGAATAAACGCAAGAGCTGGAGTGACGTGAAACCAATGAGGAACTCAAGAGTACACTCACTTTGTAGAGTTCGAAGTCCTCCCTCAGACTAGCGGCAGCAACAGCAGCGGAGGCGGCGTGGCGGTGTTTGCCCGAAAGGAAAGCAGTAAAGGCCTTCTCGTCGCTGACGGCGGAGGGCGCTAGATCGTCCAACATGGAAACCGTAACGGTCGTAAGGCTCCCATCTGCCTGCTTCACAGGATAGCGCAACTTTCTAATTTCCCGTTCAAAGAAGAAGGAGGAGTAGAGCACTATCATTCCGTAGATATTCGCCTACGACAATGAATGATTAAGGTGCTACACTAGAAAACCATGAACCCACCAGTAAAAAAAAAAGAAACGGTACATCTTTCTAAAATTCAGTTCATTAAGACTAAATAGACTTCTACTAGTGGGCTGCAGTAATTAAGTTACGTCTCGACCTAACAGGCACAAGTGCTGACGTCAATCACTGATCATACTTACCCATTAAGGCGCTAATGGTACATATTAAGTCAAAAATTTCTCAAATTATGCAACAATGCATCGTTTTCGTGCGCTAATTTAAGAAAAAATACTACTTGGTTCGCCAGACCACCTCGAACGCCTGTGCTATTGGTCGATGTCACTCAGCCAAGCCAACAGAGTGGCCACCAGCACCAACTCAAAATTGTAATTTAGCTGTTTGAAATCTGACAATATTGCTCGGAAAGAAATAGGAACTACTGCTTTCTATACGGAAAACGATTCGCAGATCTGTTGCCCTATCAATCCAGGTCTGACGCGGAAGAAAAAAAACTAGAGGCCATATATTGTGACAAGAAGCATAACATGACACATACTCGCAGAAGACCCAACTGAGCGGGTTTGCCAATTTCATTGAAGTAGGGGAGCATCTTGACCACACGTATAATGCGTCGAATGCAGGTGTCCATACGGTTGTACTCCTGTTCTAGAGTCTCCGCCGCTTGAGTGTCTAATGGCTCCTCGGGCGAGAAGGGTTCGCGGATACGCTGTACACACTCTGTGAGACACGTGAAGAGCCGCTCGTCCGGACGCTCCAACTCCAGTCCACCCGCCTCTGCGGGCACAACTGCTGAGGAAGAGGAGTTTAGTAAGCGACGATGCTGCCGCAAAAAAGCTCGACGACAGGTGCTGTGATAACAAAGGCTCTGGAAGTCACGATAACGACATTGCCGTGGTCGCAGCAGACCCGAGCACCCGGTAGCCGTCGGCGTAGGGGCAGTTGAGTAGGAACTCTATAAAAACGCAACACTATGGCTATCAGAAAATGCCACTGTAGTGTTGCTGAATGAAGATTCGCATCCCAAGTTTAGTCTGCATTCACCTACCACCCAGTCGTACTTCATTACGTGTGTAAAGTGTTAATGCCCTGAAAACCAGCGAAAAATTGGCGTCCAATCAAGGATGCTCTTATTTTAGAGTAAGGAGCTTTGTAGATGCCTTACACAATATATTATTGACTTGCCCTCACGTGTGAAAGGTGCTACAACAAAAGCAATTTTAGTTAAGTTTGTAATAAAATAGATAACATACCTCCATGACAAATGAAGATCCCGTAATAGAATTAATGGAATGAAAAGGTGAATAATAGCCGGTTGCAACTACTTTCCAGCAGATCAAATAATGATAGTGCAAGAACATTTCATGCTTCTAGTTGCAGCCGAGATCACTCTTTAAAGTTTCGCCAAACATTAAGACCAGTTTCGTAAAAACTAGACGCAGCAAATCGACGTTTGTCAAACTAACTATGCACCGTTCCTGCCAGCACATGGAAAGAGAAGGTATCATTTGTAGCTTATTTAAAGCTCCAAAATTTTCACTTACAAACCGCAGTCAACTAGGGTGACCAATCACATATTTGGACGAAAAGGATAAGAGATTGTGAAGGTGACAAATACTCCACGAGATGGGAGCAGTATTC